ACTTGTAACCATTATGCCACCAGGGCTCCCATTTGAGGCACAGTCTGATAGGCGAAGGTATGGTTGCTCTGGTAATATATGCTGCCCTTACTTCCTAAGCCATGCCTGAACCCCTTTGAAGCCCTGACACTGGTCATCATGTGCTGTCATCTGATGGCCCCCGAGCAGTGGCCCCAAAATGTGTCCTCCAGAGCAGGGGGGCTGGCTAGAAATGCAGGTTCTGGGCCAGGTTTGCCCGGTGAGAAACGGTGCACCTCTGTCCCTTAAACCCTCAGAGCCTCCCCGGGTGCACGCTGCCCACAGTGCCCAGGTATCCGCACAGGTCCTGCTTGCATCCTGCCCCACCTCCCTGGCCCCTTCGCAAGGCCTGCTTGGCCAGCGAATGCTGATTGGCTGGTGGCCCCCGTCGTGCCGAGGGCAGGGTGGTTCAGTAGTGGGGTTCCCCGTGGAGGGGTTGCTTGGCTTTCGGCAGAGCCTCCAGATGGAGAGACAAGGGAGAAAGGCCTGCTCCCTGGCAATCCACTTCTGAAAATCGGCCCATGAAAACCCTCAGGAGCACAAGGGTCAGATTAGCCCCTGGGACAAGATGCCATTACTCAGAGGGACTCCCAGGCCTGCCCTACTGCTCAGAGGATGCTGGGAGATCTGGGCACACCCCTGGGGTAAAAGCCCAGAGCCAGGCTGTGCCCGGAGTGTTGCTCGATGAGAGGGGCAGACATGGGACTAGGACTGAATGTGCGAGTGACAGGTTGGCCCTGTGGCCAGAGGGGAAAGGATGGCGTCTGGAGGCTGGAGGCCACCTTGCTGGCAGGAGAAGGGGCAGAGGTGACATGGATTTGTAACTTCCCTGCAGCCCTCAGGACAGGTCCCTGGTTTGGGAGCCGTGGATGAGGGAATGGCAGCGGTGGCCTGGCTGCGTTGTCAGTGGCCTTGCACACTCAGCGTTCAGTGGCCTGCCCAGGGACCAGTAAAGGGTCCCGCTGAATGCCTCCCCCCACCGCCCCCACCCTCAGATCTTGTCCGTGCCCTCCTGGCGCACAGACTCAGCCCAGGCGGGAGAGGGTCAGGGGAATCGGTGTCTTTATTTCTTGGGGGGAGGCCCAGGCATCCTAGGGGGGCTCTTTCTCGAGATCCTGGGTGGGTGCAGCCCAGGGAGGATGGGAGCCAGCCTGAGGGGAGGGGGCAGGCCACTCTGAAGCCTGGTCTCCTGCCTGGGCACAGAGATCCTGCCCCACAGACCCCTTCCAGGGTCCTCCCAGGGTCAGTCCACCCCCCTCAGTCTCCCTTCTCCCTACATCTTCGTTGCCACCCTCTTCCTCTGGGGCATCCTGGGCTGGGGTGGGGACCTGCCCCTCAGGCATCTCCAGCTTGTCCTTCCACCTGGGAGAAGGACAGATGAGAGGAAGAGAGAGCAGATGCATCATCCAGCCTGGGAAGGAAGCTCAGAGGCCCAGCGCAGCCCTAGGAGCTGCTCTGTGTCCCTCCCTGCCTCCCATCGGGGCTGTGACCTCCTGGCTGAGCAGGAGGAGCCCATACATACTCACCTCCCTGCCTGGGGGGTCCCGACATCAGGTGGCGAGCACAGCTGATGGGCCACCTCCTCCAACTTCACCCGCACCAGCATCTCTGTGGAGGGGACTGGCCGTCAGAAGGGCCCTGGCAGAGGGGACCCTGACCCCCACCTGCAGAGCCTCACCCTCAGTGAGCAGCTGCGCGTGGCTGCGCTCCAGAGCCACGATCTCCCGGCCCAGCCGCTGTTCCAGTATCTGCAAGGGGCAGAGCTGGCTGGTCAGTGGGTCAGTACTGCCCTCCCCACCTTGGCTAAGTCCGAGCCCAATGACACCACACAGTCATCCATCTCTTAGCTCAACATGCATTTTCTGCTGCAGCCAGCAACTGAGGGCACCCCTTTCTCCCTGACCCCCACCCCTGACTCGGGTGACTCTGGATCTCACACCTCGCACAACCCTCCTGTGCCTCCGCTTTGGCTGTTCCACAAACACGGTGGATGGCACTTGGCCTCAGGGCCTTTGCATCGACCCTGCCCTTGGCTAGGAACACCTGCACCCAGGTACCTGCAAGGGCACCCCCCCTTCCTCCAGCTGCCTTCTGGTGTCACCTGCTCAGCCTGTGCTTCTTCCCAACCCGATCCACCTACTGATGTGCTGGTGTGGAGGTGGTGTGGCCTCGCTGCCCCTGGGCCTGCCGCTGTGCTGGGTCCCCCCAGCCCCCCATGGTACCTGCTGCACCCTGGGGCATCTGGGCAGGGGAGGAAGGGCCTGGCTGGCTTCTGCAGGTCCCCATTTGCCACGGCTGGTTGAGCTAGTGTGATAGTTGAGCAGGTGACTCAGGGTGTGGCCAGGGGGTAAGTGAGCAGGGGCAGAGCAGTGAGGTGGCGGGGCTCCCCATGGAGGGGGGGCCTGAGCAAAGGTGCACCCTGGTGGGGTTCCGGGCGGAGGCGCTGATTGCTCACGTGGAACTCCCAGAGGTCCCTGTGCCGGCCCATCAGCTCCACCAGCTGCTCTTCCACCTCCAACCTGGGGGCCCACACCCAGAGTGAAAGGCCTCATCCCAGGCCTTCAGCCCTCTGCCCCCTCTGCCCACAGAACCCTCACAGGCTCCATCCTGGCCTTGACCCCTATCTTCCTTCCATTCCTCGTCCCTGATGACCCCCCAGGCCCACACCCCAGGCTGTGTTACCCCAGCCTGCGCTGTTTGTCGCTCTGAGCCATCTGGGGGCCAGGGCCAGAAGTGTGCTCCATGCAGTCCAGCACCAGCCTTCTGGAGGAAAGGCAGCGCTCTGTCACAGTGCAGGTCGAGCACCTCCCAGGAGCGGTGTCCGGACCCTGCACCCGCCCTGCTCTCTTCTGCTGAGTGAATGTGAACTTGGTGGGGTCGCGTCCAAACCATGGCCCTACCCATCCTGTCCCGCCAGTTTCTGCTTTCCCAAGAAGCCCTTGTCAGGAAGGCAGTGGTTTGGTGCTGTCAATTATAATGTCGGGGTCTGCTCCCAATGTTCCCTAGCCTCCTGGGTCTGCTTCCTCAGAGTAAGGTGAGGTGGAATACGGCATGGTGTTGGGAGGACTCAGTACACAAATGAGCATAAATTGCTCAGCAGACAGAGCCTGCGGTGTAGTTAGTGTGCGGTAGTTAAGTATTCACAGGCATGCACACACACACACACACAATCAAGTTTCTTCACACAATTAAAGTCACGTGGCCTCAATATGGGAGGCCTCTCGTCACAGGCATGTGCATGTAACTGCTCAGAGGGTGGGAAGATGGATGGATGGATGGATGGATGGATGGATGGATGGATGGATGGATGGATGGTCGGCCGGTCACTGGGCAGGTCACTAGACGGGTAAGTGACTGGAAGGAGCAGCGATGTGTACAGGCTGAGGCTGGCTGGTGGAGGGCGGCTAGGGGTCTGGGTGGACAGCTGGGAGGTGAGAGGAGCGGCTGGGTGGCTGAAAGGCTGCATGCAAGACTGTCAGACAGACACACGGATGGATGGGTGGGTAGAGGAGCCGATGGAGGAGGCCTACATGTGCTGGCAGAGAAACGAATGGATGGCAGAGGAGCCGGTGAGGACCAGGAGAGGCTCGGGGAAATGCTAGCAGACGGAATCCCTTGCCCCGGTAGATGGGCCATGGGATCAAATAAGCGAGTCGATGTGGACATCCCGTGGAAGACCAGAGCAGAGTGGGGCTCTGTCATGTTGGACCAGCTCTGTTTTACAGAAGCAGGCTTGCCTGACACGGACCTCCCTGGCCGGCCTCCCTCTTTCCTGGGGGAAGAGGCGGGAGGGGGCAGGGCAGGACCTCTTACCTCTGGGCCTCCCTCCCCTTCCTGTGACAGTGCAGCTGTAGAGTCCTCAGGGTGTCTGTCAAGAAAGGGGTCCGGGGGGCCTGTGACAGCTCCGAGGTGGAGCTGAGGGGGGCCGACCACCCTGAGAGGCCCCCACTTTGAGGAGGGCCATGAGTGGCGTCAGCTAGTTGGACGACAGTGCCAGCCGCATACCTTGCTTTTTGCTCAGGACCTCCTCCAGGTGCGCCTTCTCGCCGCTCACTGGAAAACGGCCACCTGTCAGGACCCAGGCCCTGCGCTTCACGCAAGGAGCGGACGCAGGGGCAACACACGGAGGGCATGGCCCAGCAGCAGGAGAGGGGTTCCCAACTCTGAGGGGGCCCACGCTCCCTGCCTGTACCTTCCCTCTGTGTCCACGCTCCCCGCCCTCTCTGGCTGAAGGCCCTCAGGATGCCCCTGGTGTGCTGGGAGGGCATCGAGGGCCTGAGATTCATCAGGGCACCTCAATCCAGCACAGCGAGGCCCTGGAGGGAACAGATCAGGCAGGGAGGGAGCTACTGTGACAGGAGGGGTGGAGGGGCTGGGGATGGTCTTTAAGTGGAGCTGTCATCCTCAGAGAACGGCCAGCTGAGGTGACCTGTGAACGGAGCGCTGAGAGAAGACATGACAGGGCAGCAGTCCGTCTGGACGCGAGGACAGGAGTCCTGTAGGCTCAGGGAATAGTGGACTGCACAAGAGTCTGGTGGGGCCGGGCACAGGGCTCTGGTGAGAGCAAGGGCACCCCGGGATGGCACCGTTCCTCCTCGGCCCCACTCACAGGAGTCTAGTTGGCTGTGCAGGGTGTCCTGGAGCTGGCGGGCCTCGCTGTCTTCCTCGCTGGCCTGCCTTTTCTCTGGGCCGGAGGGAAGAAGGCCCAGAGTGAGCAGGGGGCACGAGCAGGGCCCAGCCTGGCAGTTCTCTTGCGGAGGCTGACCTTGCACGTTTGCCTTCAACCAGCCTGGGGGGAGCCTGGGGGCCTACCGTGCTGGAGCGTGTGAATCCGGCTGATCAGATCCTCAATCTGGGGCTCCAGGCTGCCCTCTGCAGAAGCAAAGGCAGGCCTTGCGGGTCCAGCAGATGGAGGGGAGGCTGCTGGCCCTGGGCCCCTGCTAATTCTCAGTCAATGCACATTTATGAGGCACCTGCTGAGTGCAGGCTGGCTCTGTGGAAGCCTCTACCCCTCACCAGATCCTGCATCCTGAGTCGGGGTGGGAGGTGACCAGCACAGACAGACATGGATGATGTCGGGCAGGGGGTGGGGTGGGTGGTGGGTGGGTTGCAAGGGCTGCTGGGAAGGGAACTGAAAGGAACAGATTGATGAGCACAAGGGTAGAAGGTGCTGCTGGAGAGGTGGACAGGCTCTTGGCCAACCACGTGAGGGGGAGGCCCCGTCCTCCTCAGGGCAGGAGCCTCCCGCAGAGGAAGCAGGCAGGCATGGGGCTGCACAGACACTAGTCTGAAGTGACAGCCTGAGGGGGCTGGGTGGCCAGGGTCCACTAGCCGAGTGGGCATGGGCAGGAGGGGAAGGGGGAGGGGAAGGCAGCACCCTCATGGGGCTGCCTGGGCCAAGCTAGAGGTAGGAGTTCCAGGAGCCTCTCCTGTGTCCGGCTCTGGGAAAGGCCTGCAGGGTGGCCGCCGGTCACTTCCGTCATGCTGGGCTCCAGTTTGGGTCTTCCTTGGGAAACAGGACCATGGGTGACAGCTGGGGAGTTGCTCACTGGCCTGGAGACCAGTGCCTCTTCAGCTGGCGTGCACTGGTCAGCATGCCCATGCCAGCCTGTGCTCCCTCCCTGGGCAGGGGTGGTGAGGGGGGTGGTGGTGGTGTGTCTGGGCCAGCAGGGCAGAGGAGGCACATGGTGTACTGCCAACCCCTAAGGCACTCTCGAGTGAGTCAGCGTCCAGCCCCCACAACACAAAAACCTCACTCACTGCTACGGGACAGAGTAGAACCGCCCGTGGGGTTCCGAGATTGTCCCTGCGATTTTCCAGGGCTACCAACGGCACCTCCTGTGACTTCCAGGAGAGTGAGCGTTGCCCCTGGTATAATTATGAAGAACAAAAATATCCCTGGGGGGCGGCGTGGGGGGGTGGTCCTCGGTTTCCTGGAGACATTCAGTATCCTTTTGGATCCCCACAGCCCCAGTGTAGCTACGGGGAGGGGCCCCCTTTATTAGCAATAGATAAATGGATTCTAGCACTTTGAGCTGAGAACAGACTGGGGGGGCGGGGCGCGGAAGTATAAACCCCCTCTTGCTAACCCTGAGGTCGGCACTGTGTGCAGGCGGTCTCCCTGGTCCCCTTACTCCCAATTCACTCCCATCGAGTCCAGGCCAACTCGTGGAGAGCCTACAGGGCAGGGTAGAACCCCCCTGAGTTTCAGAGACTGTAACTCTTTCTGGCAGTAGAAAGCCCCATCTTTCTCCTGAGGAGCAGAGGGTGGGTTTGAACCGCCGATCTTGCAGTTAGCTGCCCAACATGTAACCACTGCAAAAACCAATCTGCTCCTTTCCCCCGGTGTATAAAATGGGCAGCCAGAGAGTGCATGCCTATGACTGTGCTGAAAAACGATCTCTCAGAATACTCAGCATTTGAAAACAATGGCCGCTGGCTTGGGAGGCAGGGATGTGGGTGACCAGGGATGTGGGGAGAGAGGATGGCTGTGTTTTCCCTCCAACTCTTGAATTCTGAATTGTGGGCCCATCATTTCAGGTCAGTGGATTAAATGGTTGCCCAGGAAGAGGGTGTAATTGGGTGGCTCCCCAAGGATGTGGAGGCTGGGTTTTAACCCTGTCTGTCCGTCTGACTCACAGCCCCAGGCCAAGCCTCAGCCATGGGTGACACAGAACCTTTCTGCAGCCTTTTCACCATTGCCAGCAAGTCTCCAGTCTTCTTCAAAGACCTGGCCTGACCTGTGGAGACGAAAGCCAGAATTACAGGGTCCAACGGGAGGTCCATCTGGGAGGCCCGGGGAGAAGGGATGGGCTGGGGGGCAGGCGTCCAGCCAGAGCTGGCCAGCTTCTATCTGAAGGGTCAGAGGGTGCCATCGATCTCCCCTACTGAAATTCAAGGGGAAACAAGAGGCCGGGGGCACTCGCTTGTGCTATTGCTGCCTCAGCCCATTGTGAAGGTCTGACCAAGTCAGTGGGGCAGCAGCTGCACCTGAATCTCTTGCAGACTGTACAGCACGGGGTGTAAAGTCTTAAGGAACCAGTGGAGCTCGGTAAAGGCTGCTAGCACATTGACAAAGAACCTTCAAAATGAAAGGACACAGTACTGCGTGTGAAGAAGGGAGTCTGCATCTTCTCAGGCTGCCATACTTAGCAGACTAATTTACAGGAAACACAAGGACAGAGCCACATGGTGAATGCCACCACAGGGATGCGGGCAGCAGCCTCCAGCGCCTGGGAAAGTGTAAGACAAACAGCCGGGTTTCTTCCAGGGGAACCTCCATGAAAACAAAGGCATGGAAGTAACACAGGGCTGCAGTGGAGAACCCCTATCCAGTGAGAGACCTGAGAGAGCGCCATCAAGTGCAAGCCACAGACCGCATGGGTAGCCTTTTTCAATCAGGCAGTTTGTAGAAACAAACCAAACATTTGACATTTAGGACAAAAGGAATGGAGATGATTTGGCGTTATAGAAGGGCTGCTGTTATTTGGTAGGTGTGTTGATGGTAGGTAGCATGGCATGTTTTTCGGATCTTAGATGTATAGGAATATGTGACACAAGAATGGCACCTGGGATTTGTGTCAGTGGACGGAGTGGGAAGGAGTGAATGCAGGCAGAGAGGAAAGGGCACTGAGCCGACAGCAGAGCTGATACCAGCTGAGGCCTGGGGATGGGCTCACAGGGGCCATGGTGGTGCCCTAGTATCTCATAGGGCCGTTATAACACTCAACCTTCAAGCAATAAAGGGGGAAAGACCCACCAATGGCCAATAAACATTTGAAAAGAGGAACAATCTTGGTATAACTGAAGAGACACAAACTAAACTAGGGTAAGATATGAGCCTGACGAATTTGTAAATATAAAAAGTCGGACAGGGAAAGATATGACAAAATAATAATTTCTAAATTATCAAGGGCTCATGAGGGAAGGGGGAGCAGGAAGGGAGGGGATAAAATGCGGAGCTGATGCCAGGGGCTTAGGTGGAGAGCAAATGTTTTGAGAATGATGAGAGCAATGAATGTACAAATGTGCTTTACACAATTGATGTATGTATGGATAGTGATAAGAGTTGTATAAGCCCCTAATAAAACGATTTAAAAAAAAAAGAAAGCTTAGAAAGCAGGAAGGGATAGGAAAGAAGCAGCACAGTTGGAAACAGGGAATTTAGGGAGGAAATGGGAAGACGGATACTACATTGAGGGAATTAAAACCAGTATTATGAACCAAAATGGTTGCAAATTGTTGAACATAAAATTAATTTGCATTGTAAACTTTCACCCAAACTACAGCAATAAACCATTGCTTGTCTGTCAAAAATAAAAAAGTCTGGTAATGTCTGATATTGGCAAGGTCCTGGGAAAATAAGACATTCGCAGGCACTGATCATTTATCAAGGAAATTCAAACCTTTCGGAAGGTAACTAAGCAACATTTGTCAATATCTGAAAAACAGGCAAGTGTAATCAATATTTTAAAGATAGAATTTCATTTCTAGCCATCTGTATCCATTAATGATGCTCCTGAAACTGTCTGTCATAACAAAAAGAGAAGATAAACTGAATGTCCACCGATACACTGTCATTGAATTCCATTCTGCCTGCCTCATAGTGACCCTGCAGTTTCCCTACAAAGAGGCTATAAATCTTATATGGGAGCAAACAGCCTCATCTTCCTCCCGAGAAATGACTGGGGGCTTTGAACCACCAACCTTGCGGTTAGCAGTCTGAAACCTATCCTATAGGACCGTCCAGGGTTCATCCACACCATGGAATATTATACAGCCAATAAGGACAGAGTCACATGTATTGGTATTAAAACATAGCCTTACAAAAAAAAAAGAGGTGGTCTTAATATCACTACAGTATTAAGTGTATAACTATGTTATCGATGATCTCATTTGCCAGAACAAGGTGTAAGCTGTCTAACTGCCAGCTAACAGAAATATAAATCTGTGTAATGGGTGTGGAAAATTCTCGCAAGGATATTAAAGATGTCAACAGTCATTACTTCTGGGGTGTCTGTCGGGACCACTGGTAAGTAGGAATGAATGTTTACTTTTCACCACGAATTTCACTAATTTTAAGTATTTAGCTTTTTTTTTTTTTAACACAACCAGCGCTGTTTTATAAATGAAAACCACAACCAAATTGGAGAATCATTTTTGATATATTAAACCGTGAATATCAATTTATCTGTGCTCAAAATCTAAGTGTGGCCAATTTCTTGCCAGAGAAAAATGAGTGGAGAATCAGGCAGCTTATAAAGCCTTCTCATGGCCCCCAAATAAACAAAGACGTGCCCCCGAGGAGGAAACAAGACCACAGCTACTTTAATGACCAGGGAAGGTGTTGGTGATTTTCAAAAAGTATTTTATTATAAAACAAAACACCATCAAGCACACATAAAAGCAGAAAGGACACTACGGCAGACCCTCATTCAGCCACCACAAGATCTGCCAACTAGTCACGTTCACCCGTATTTGCTTCCGCTAAGCTTTTCTTGTGCTAAAGGATTTTCAAGCAAGTCCCAGACTTCCAGGATTTCATCCAGACTCTCTGGAGTCTCACAACTCCAGGACATTTTCTTAGATGACTCTAATCCCATAACCACACAGGGTAAGCCTGACAATGAGCCCCTAGATCACCCAATACCCAGATAGTACCAGAAGTGGATTTCTCTGCTTGTCCCCAAATGTCTTTGACAGCTGGCTTTGGCAACCTGGTCTTTGAAAGCCCCGTTGTATTGCGAGTGCTGGCCAGGAGGACAGGCAGAGTGAATGACTGTGACCCAGAGCGCGCTTACATGAGCCAACTGATATCTTGATGAAAACAACCAACCTCCTCCAGCATTCCACGTGACAAACAGACCATTTATTCCCATTTGTCCTTGTGTCCGAGCCTCCGCCTCAGAATGTCCCACTGCAGACACCATGCTGAGTTACCCAACACTCCAGTGTCTAGCTCCTATCTGCAAAGTGACGCCACTGGGTAATTTCGGCATAATCATCACAGCCAGGAGGCTAACACTGGCCCAATATTCATAGCCTATCTTCAAAGGCCATTCATAAATCTACCTCTATTTTGTTGTATATTTAAAATTATATATCATAACATTCCCAAAAAATCTAGTAATGTTTCAAAAATACCTCCACCGCAGTCCCGTTCGGAAAGTCTAAGGCCCCTGCCCTGCCCCTCATTCGGCCATTAGCCATTTTTTCTGTGCAACACACACAGGCTAGTGTTAATACCAGCCCCTGGCCCCCACCTCCCTGCTTTTTAAAAATCCAAGTCCGCTCTTTCCTCTCATAAAAACCTCTTTTTGAGATCATTCTGTGTCAACAATGACCTTATCCTTTAAGAAATGAATTCCTAGAATAATCTTTCCCCCATCACAAAAGTCTGCCGTGAGCAGGCCTGGACCACACACCTGTGGATTCTCAGATGACCTGGCTGTGGTGCCTGGAGCTGTGATGTGGCATCCTGCCAAACTGTGTCCAGCAGTCAACACCAATGAGGTCAGTTCTTCCCCAAAGTGGCAAGAAGCCTGCCTCCCCACAGGCTCACCAGCACTAGAAATGAACCTGGACTTCATTTGATGGGCCGATGCCCCTCCGCTGGGCTATGGTCCTTTTGATTTCCTGCACTGCTGGGGAAGTTAGTGGAGCTTTTAGTTTTGAAAGAATAACAACTCAATCATTCTTACCATAATGGCAGCCATAGTAGGTGCTCATAAATGGGATGGACTTGCTTTGCTTTCACTTGTCTCTCGTGTGCCCATAGGTGGCCCTCACCGTGTGGCCTGATTCTGAAAGCTGGTTGTGCCATTACCCGGTAACTGTTTTCCAAACGGTCATGGAGCACCTACTATGTGTCCAACGGGCCTGGCAACGGGCAGGCTCAGTTCCCCTGGAGCTTGCTCACATGCCCAGAGAGGTAGCGGCAGCTCTGGCAATCTACCCGTGTAAGAAAGTGGTGTGAGGGGGACAAGGGGAGGGGGAGCACTGGGGAGGAGGAGGGCGGCATGGGGGTCCACCGCCTTCCTCGGGCTATCTCCTCCCTTGTGGCTGGTTTCCAACCTCTCTGTAACTCAAAACCAACCGAGATCGTGGCAAACTCGTGAGGTGGCCTAGTGGTCCCACGGTTAAGTGCTTGGCTGCCAACTCAAAGGTGGTGGGGGAGGAAGATGCGGCAGGCTACTCGTGTACAGGCCCCAGCCTGGGCTGCCCTGCTGCCCTCGGGTCGGCTGGCAGGGGTCCCGGTGGGTAGGTACCCTAGGGATGGCTGCCTCCCTTTGCAGGGCGGCGATTTCCCATGGCTCTGGGCCTCGCCTCAGGGTCATGGCTCAACAAGTCTTCGCTTGGGGAAGGAGCTTGGGTGGAGGCGTGGGGTCTAGACCCGGGGCTGTCTGCAGGGTAGCCGAGGAGGGTGACTGACAGTTTTCTAGGAGGGGGTCTAACAGAGGGGGGGCGGAGCTAGGGTGAATTTTTTTGTGCCTCTGAAAATACCAACGTTTCTATGCGCCACAACTGAATGACGGACTGTTGACCTTGAAACGCTTAAGCAGCAGAGCCAACAGGGCCAACGTGACCCGAGCTCACCTGGGGATGAGAATGTGTGTGCTGTGTCTCTCCCACTTTGTGGAACCGTTTGCGGGGGGAGGGGGGGCTTACATGTTTACCATTTTTCAAAAAGCACAATGACCCTTATTGAATGAGGAGAACCCTTTCTTCCTCCGGCCCCAGTGGGGAGAGGGGCGCAGACCACCTACCCTCACTACCTTCAGCCTCCTCCGCGCCCCCAGGCGACTCCATTGCTGAAAGCTCCCAACTCCCGGCCATTTCCTAACACGAGTCTTGCTTATGCCTTGGGGTTCGGTGCCCCGCCCACTGGCCAAGCCTCTGCAGTACGCATGCGCAGTAGATGGGGCGCAGCTGGTAGGCCAAGGCTGGGACTTCAGATCCAGGCAAGGATCTTGGACAGGCAGTTGGCGCTCATGCGCAGCGTCGGCAGTCAAGGGCGGTACTGTGCGCAGCCGTGTAGTCGGTCGCTGGTTATTTCAGGTTGCGCAGGCGGGAAATCGGGAACCAGGGTGCACGAGTTGTGCAGTGGGGCACGGGACGGGGAGTTCAAGTTCCCCATCAGTCTCCACCTCACAAGTCTTAGCCTAAAGAGTCTGGGAGAGCTGCTTCCCCATTTCACCAAGGAGCAGAAGGCTTGCAAGCCAACCGTACCGCTTCCGTAAAAGTCCTGGGTCTCGGCCAGCAGGTACACCCACGAAGATGCCCGATGCCCCTTCACATTCACACCAGCAGCAGCCAACTTGAGGGGGTCGTTTTAGAGGCAGAGTAGAGATGAAGACAGGCACATGAAAGGGCAAAGGAGCATCTTCCTGGGGCTTAGTTTTAGGCCTTTTATGTAGTTTTTCTTGAAATTATCCTCAGGCTGATTGTAGGCACAGGCTGGCCCTGCCATTTCCAATTCCATTACCCTGTGGCCCACCTGAGCTGGGTTAGCCTGGGCACTCCCTTGGGGAGGCAGTCCCCGGGTGCAAGGACCGAGGGCGTGGTGCCCAGGTTTGGAGGGGGCAGCCCTGCAACATCATCCAGGTAGGTGTGGAAGGAACACAAAGGCCCGTGGACCGCCCCAGAAGGGAGCTATCTGCTCCCTGCCGTCCATGTCGGCATGCTGTCACACAGGGATCAGCCAGACACCGCCCTCTCCCACCCCACACCTCCCCACAACTCTAGGATGAAGAAGGGAAATTACGGCCAGGCCGCTTGCAGCACTGCCCCATCGGAAGCTCAACTTCTCAGAGTCCAGTGAAAAAGCCATTGTGGAGGGCTTGGTCCACAGGGGCAGCAGGAGGTGTGGAGTACTTGGGTGGGCAGCGAATGAAGAGCCGGTCTTCCTCTTTCTTCACCCAGCGCAGGAGTTTCGTCACGACCAGAATGGCGCCGGCCTTGGTCACCAAAGGGCTGAGACACGTATAGAGCTCAAATTTGGAGGTCACCTGGGAGGGGGGGGGGCGGGTTGGGAGGAGATGAGAGTTAAATGGGCCTGAGCTGGCCATGCCCTCCCCTCAGAGAAACCCCCCTGGGTTAAAGTCCTGGGCCGGTCAGATAGCTTGGTTTTTAATACCTCGCTGTACTAAAAGGTACACCGGTTCCTTGGGGGAATGAATGTCCCAGTCCCGGCTGGCACAGAAAAAGCACAAAATCAATCTGGAACATTTTGTGCCTGACAGTAAGACATGCTCAAGCAATGATGAGGACATGGCCCAAAGACACGGGAGCCAGCCGGGCCCACTCTGACCATTTGAACGTCAGAAGAAGTAAGAGCAATGTGAGTTGTATGTCGATGAAACTGTTTGAAAACAAACAAGTCACAAAAACCCACAAGCAGACCTCCAGCTCCTTCGTTCTAGTCTCTTTTCGTCTGGAAGGGCTAACACCTGTTCACCATGAGTGATCCTGCCAGTATCAGAACTACTAGGGACACAGCGCCCCGCGTCACAGCAGCACGCCAGCTAACACAGCATACAGACAGACAAGTGAGTGGAGAAAGTGACCATACAGTATTTGAAATAAACACTGAAGACGTTAACCCTCTCTCCCCCCCCCACATAAATAAAAAAAAAGGGGGGAGCAGCAAAATCTACAAGAAAGGAGGAAACATTCTTTCTCACAGAAGAATCCCAGCCGTTAACCTGCAGGAGTGATGGAGTCAGAAAAAACACCATCACCACTTGGCAAGCACCAGAGTGATAACCTGTGCCAGTGGCAATCGTTAATGGATGTTAAAAAGAGTGGGTGAAAATGTGAGCACAACAGATAGCTACGGAATCACAGCAATGGGAAAACACTGACTTGACAGTGGAGACCCCCTCAGCCAGGAGATCTCAGCCATCCACATGGGAATAGCTGATCCCCTGGGCCACCTAATGGGATGGGATTCGGAGACCACACACATCCTTCTGGATGACCTCAATTTAGTCTTGACAAAACCTTAGGAAAGCCCATGTTGAAGGGCATCCTATGAACTAACTGCCCGTGCATCCTTCGAACAGGTCCGGAAAGCTGAAGACAGCTGAAGAACTGTTTCAAAATAAATTCCAAGAAAGGAATGGTCCCTAAATAGGGATGCAAACTAAATACAGGCAGCCCAGGCCGGAACCAGATCCTGGACCAGCGGGAGGCAGCACTGGGGCAGGCGGGGACGACTTGGGGGACGACTGGGATTCTGATAAGTTACCGGGTATCTCTGATCAGTTTGCATCTGGGGAAACTGTGAAGGGCAGGCCGGGATTCACTATGTTTGCAATGTATGTGCACGGCAAAAATGACTTGAAAAGTTAAAACAAAATCCTCAGCTTTCAACGACTACCCACTACGGGGGCAGGCAAGCAGTAAGTGGTTTCACAAACAACGTGCGCTCAGTGCAGCGACACGACCTCGGGGAAGGTGCCATTTCAGTTGGGTCCCCTGGACCGAACCTCCCTGAACAGCTTACCCGGAACAGACCCAACTGTGAGGGCAGGAGGCCTGAGGTGGCCCCCAGGAAAGAAGGCCCCGGACGGACAACTGGGGGCACTCCCAAGCCTGGGGTGGTTCAATAAGGCTAGGTCCGTGGGATGGCACTGAATTCGAAGGGGTCATTGGCAGACCCAGAGACATTCCTTTGTGGGGCTTCCCGAAAGTCAATGCGGTCCCGGTGGCGAATGGAAGGTCCGAAGGTGGAAAGGTGTGTGATCAACCCTCATTGGTTCAGAGATAAGTATGTCCTGACTGACACAGCGATACAAGGGGGAGCGTAAACCCAGGCCCAGGGGCTAGGGCTGGGGAGAAGAGGCAAGAAGTGAGGGTGCACTCACCCAGGCCAGCAGGGTCTCCTTCTCAGCCACGTGGTAAATGAGGCGCAGTGGCCTGGAGGTGCTGTGGAGACGTGCGTGCAGGCAGTGATACAAGTCGGACAGGCGATGCTGCTCCTCCTCCCTGCTGTACGGGGCTTCAAGCTCGGGGCTGCATTGTGGTAGGTGGGGCAGTTAGCAGCTTCCTGGCTGGCCCTGTTCCCCTTTCAATCTAGGGATCTCAGTTAAGCCAGGAAGCCAAGCCTCCCCCGTTAGACAGGAGGAATCTCCGGTAGTTTGGGGCCAAGACACTGCATAGGTTCCTAACCTTATTTGGGAACTCCCTTAAGAAAATTAGTTCCCCACCCAAATCCATTACAACCTTGTGTACTATAGCCTATCATTCCTGGATAGGGTAGGTTATCTGCTTTTACAGGCTCTCTGAATTGTCCCAGCACCCCACCCCCACCTGGCTGTGGGTGTCTTTGGGAAACACAGGACTGGAGGGTTCTTTACAGACTGGGCCCGCCTCCCCTTGGGGGGGTTAGCAAGTTCTTGGGGTTGTGCCTTCCTCTTCAGAGAGCCCTGCAATTCTATCTGTCTAGCTACAGCGGCTATCTGAGCCGCCACAAGCTTTCCTGCCCGGCTGACTGCCCCCAAGGTCCGTGCCCACCTGGTAAACTGGGGCAGCTGGCGGTGGTGGTCTGGGATGTCCAGAGGCTTGTAGAGGAAGTGCCGGAGACCGGGCGCCCCCACGGCCTGCACACTGTAGGCCGGGGCGCTGGCGGACTGGGTGTTCGAGAAGCCGGCGACTGCCTCAAGGGCGTGCGTGGCCCCTAGGGCGCGCATGCCATCTTCAACCAGGCGTCGGCAGGTGGCCATGGCGTGGAAGGCCTCCCGGTCGGTGCCCAGTAGCAGCAAGCAGACAGGCATGGCGTCCAGGCGGGCCACGTAGGCATAGAAGAAACCGTCGGGGTTGAAGCGGGGCAAGCACACGGGCGCCCAGGCCTCACCAGCTGCAAAGGCCGGCGCCCCCACCCAGTCAAGCAGCAGCTGCAGGTCGGCTGGGTCCAGCCGGCACTCGTTCAGCACGGTCCGTTCCTGGGCCGCGGTGATCAGCTGCCCATCCAACGCCAGCACCGACAGCGCCAGGCCCGGGGCAGTGCAGCGGCGCAGCAGTGTGCCCAGCGCCTCCCGGAGCGGCCGCGCCAGGGGCACGCAGCGCACGGCGCCCAGCAGCAGCCCGCCCGGGTCTCGCTCCACATTGTCCAGAAGCCTGTCCAACGTGCGCTCGGAGCCGGCCAACAGGCGGCGGAGGTCGTAGTTCTGCTTGTGTGCGAAGATGCGGGTCACACTGGCGCGGGTCAAGGTGCTCACGATCTGGGCGTGCACCGCTAGTAGCTCCCCGCGCAGCTGGGCCGCTGACTGGGGTGTGCGCGACACGGCCACCAGCAGCAGGGGGCCCTGCTGCAGGAACACCAGCTTGTGGTCCTCTGGGCAGAGGAGGGATGGGTCAGGGGTGGCTGGAGGGGCCCAGGTTGGCCCTTCTGTCCCTACCCCCACCCCAAATTCCTGGCCTGAGTCCACACAGTCACTGTGCGGGGACACCTGGGCTGGAGTGGGGACGCGTAGGTGTTTGGAGAGCCTCTCAAAGAATCGGTGGCGCAGACAGTGGAGCTGGAGTCACGCGAGCTCAGCCACACGTGCCAGGCCTGACACAGTTCTCCAGTCACGCTCAGGCCACAAGGGAGTATAGGGCCAGTCACTTACAAAACCACCAGCTAAACACACGGAAAGCTAACCCCCGAGTGGGTGGGCAGTCAGTGACCCACCGCCAACTGATTAGAGAGCCCCCCAGCCAGCTCCCCGGGCAGTGACCCATCAGCTCACCAGCATAGATGGCGCGGATGGCGTCACCTGCGCTCTGCACGAAGGACACCAGGGCTGTCATCACGCCCATGGTAGCCGACAGCGCCTCCACGCTGCCGTACCGGGAGTAGATGGGCTTGCCGGCCTCACTCAGCACAAACACGTGCTTCCGCTGGCTGCGCCAGTCCTCATCACTGGGGTCTCCACCCTCACTCCCCAGGCCACTCTCAGCGCCATCCAGAGGACTACTTTCAGAGGCTGTGGGGCTCCAGAGCTCACTGGTGCCTGCCGGGACCTCGGACTGGGGCAGTGATGGCAGCAGGCTGGGTGGCTGGTCCTTAGCCTTGGATCCTGCAAGGGAGTCCCTGGTAGATCATCTGCCTGGGGACCCCTGCATCCCCAGGGACCCACCAAATCCCCACTGGCCTCCCAATAGCTCCCACAGGTGAGCACAGATCGCTGCATGCATGTCTCCCCACACCCCCTGCCCAGTGAGCACTGACTGCCCCAGGACCTCGTAAATGATTCGCACAAACCCCATGAACACTCAGGTTTCAGTAATTCCATGTCCAGTGAATCCCATAGTCTCTCATTGCTACTCATTGAGCCCCCTGTAGTTCCCCTTCAAAAGCTAAAATTAACCACCTCTAATAGCCAAGCCATTCAGTTACCTCTGAGTTACCACCTACATACAGGACTTGAAGGACCTTCACTGTATGTGCATCATCGGCATTCACTGACATCCAACTTCAATGACTTCCCTCCTTCATCCACTCCCATTGATTCCCTGGACTCTACTGCTCCCTCAAGGGCAACGACTGGTATCCATTCACATCTCTGCTTCAAAAATTTCCCCATAAAATCCCAATGATCTCAGTCTCTCAAAGGCATTACCTGATTCCCCTCTCTAAGGTCCCCAACGATCGATGACAGGCTCCCCAACCCCACCCCGCCTCCACCCCCGTTCCCTACTGAATATCCATGGACACCCACTAACCCATTCCGCAATGATTTCAACCGTATGCCCAACGCACATCCCGCTAAACCAACCCAAAGACCTCACTGGTCCCCCAAAATGAAAATCCCGTGGGAAGCTTTCCCAGTCCACAGTGAGGAGAGGGCTTACCTGCTTCCTCCAGGCTCCCATCTCCAGGGTCCGGGGGGTCCTCGTGAGCTCCCCCACCATCTGCAGTCTCCTCACTAGACAGCGATGTGGTCTCCAAGTCCTCTGCGTTCCCCGGAGCTGGAGCGGCAGTGTCTCCCCCAGCGTCCATCTGCACATCCCTGGAGAGGAGGAGGTACTGGGGGTGACAGGCAACGACAGAAACTTCTTAAAAGCCTTTTGGGAGTCCCGCCCCGTGGAACACACGCCTCGCGTCCATCACCCCAGGGGCTTCAACAAGATGAGACGTTATAAAACATGACTTTCTAACCCTTCCAGGAAAAGGAGGCTCTACCAGACCTCAGGCAAGAAAAGCACAAACACCTGTTCCACAGTCTAGCTCCAAGGACCGGATCTCATTACTTCCCGCAGCGGCCGCGGCATCAAACTTCCGGGTAGGCCGGCCGTCTAGCCACACTTCCTCATGTGACGTCACTACGAAGAGACTTCCGGTCGCCCCCCACGGCTTCCTCGCCCCCTCAGGGCTCACCGCCCACTGGTGCTTCCACACACAGATGGGACACCGCCGCTCCAGCAGCCACGTCAGATCTGATCGCGAACCCAGTGAGCACACTGCGCCGCTTTCCCCGGCTCGGGCTCTGGTAAACCCGGCCAGTTTCTCCACCCTCTGGGGCCTAGGGGGGGGGCTCTGCCAATCTCGGAGCAGAGGGTGGGACTACTTCCCTCTGGCCCAATCGAGAGAAGCATCCGCCCCGCCTCCTCCCCGCCCTCTTATTCTGACCAATCCCGTGCGTTTGCGAGCGCCCGGCACGTGACTGACATCTCCTACGGCCCAATCGGCAGTCTCGAGACGATTTCCCTTTTCACGTGAGGGCGTTCGCGCACTGAGTCCTGCCGGTGCCCGATCCCTACCGATATCTTGTTTCCCGCTTCACCCTTTGGGAGTTTGGTGTAGGGTTGAGTGGAATAGGATCTAAACAGGGAGGAGATGCCCCGCCGGCCATCGCTGCATAGGAGGGGGGTTCAGGAAAAGGCGTCTTAGCTGCTAGCTTTAGTATGAGGGAGAGCAGGTGAGGCCCCACCTTCTCAGGATGCTCCACCTCCTTTGCTTTGGATGTCTCTGAATATGCCCCTGTGGTGCCTCTCTGGGGGCAACAGACCCAACCTGCACAGGTATGGCTCTGTGGGTGGGGCTCTGCTGCCTAGGCCTCCCGGTCAGCTTGTGGGCGTGGCTTTGCGAGGCTGCTGAATCCTTGTTGGCTGACGCCATGCCCGTTGGGCTCTATGCACCGTCATTGGCTGAACAGGAGGAAGGTGGGAGTTCTTGGAAGATGGGCTCCGACTTCTGCTGTGGGGGTCGGCTATTTGTCTACTCTTGATAAAGTGGAGCTGGCTTTAATATCTCTGAGGCATCAGGAGGGGTATTCAGTAGAAGGGGTCCTAGCAGCTAATTTTAGTGTGAGGGAGAGCAGGTGTGGTCCCACCTTCTCAGAATGCTCCACCTCCTTTGCCTTGGATGTCTGAATAAGTTCCTCGTGTCCAGGGTAAAAACTCTGAAGATAAGCCAGTGAAGCCCAAAGCTATCCAGTGGTCACTCCATCCCAGGCTACTAGGCTCCCCGGGGTCGGGGGTTCGCTCCCAGGGATGAGCAAGGTAAAAATGTGCTTAGGACGCCAGTTCTTCACAGCAAAGGCCTGTAAAGGCCAAGCAGACCGGAAGCAAGAAACGTGAGCACTATCATAGGAGAGAACCAGCAGGACCCTAAATGACACCGGTACCATTTTCTCAATCTTGTGTATGATAACAATGGTACTTTTTCTTTTCATTTCGGACAACTCCGGTCTAAAAGCATGATCTCAGTCTCTCAAAGGCATTTCCTGATGCCCCTCTCTAAGGTTTCCTGAGGGAGCACAGAAGCATGGCCGCAGCACTGGATCACGTGGCCCAGGTCCTGACTTGTCCTGAGCCAAGCGAACCCAACTCATTTCATATGGAACTGCGTATTTGTACCACGCTCTTTGTGATCCCTCTCCCGCTTCCTGCCCCTCCTCCGATTCACAGCAGAAGTCCCAATGCACTGTGGACGCAGCATCCATGAACAGAAAGTGCATGTGCGCATTTTTAAGTTTTACTTCAGGACCACAGGGGCTCTGAGAGATCAGAGGTGGACCCGCCTACGAGCCTCATGTGCCAAGTGAATGAAATTTCTGACTCTGTAGCTACTGGTTCTCAGAACTTAAGACGTGACGAACAAAATGGCATGTTCCAAATCCATCTTTTTTAACATACTGGTTTTCAAATAGAAATGCTTATATCAATGTCCCAATCCCGATGTGAATTTTGTTTAATGAATTTTACATGCTAAGAAATGCTATTGGTGTTCTTGCTTCGGAGTCATTGGCTACGGTACAATCAACTTTAAAAAGTGGCCTAACTATATCCAGGTAGAAGGAAAGGGCAACAACGAAGTGGAACGGGAAAACGAAAGCTCATCAGAGATAAAAAGAGGACTTGTGAATTCCTAATGACAAAACCAACCTTCACATTCTTTGTAACATGCAATGAATCGGGAAAGAATTCTACTGATGACTGTTTGAGTTTAATGGGTGCAGATTGTTGTACTCCTACCATTACTGCTAATTACTAATAGCCAAGGCAGAGAACATAAATCGCCCCCAGTGCTGCATCCCTTCCTTGCTGTATTAAGAGAATAACATATAGAAAGTGAAGCTATTTTAGAATTTTAACTTGGTGTGCTTGCAGATCCCCTGGAAGATGGAAGTACAGAACCTGTCTTGTGGGATGTGTTTTCTTCTGATGTAAATTGTTTGATTAAAAGAGCTGTACGTGCTTGCCATCCCCACAGTGGACCATTTGAAAATTTGTGTTGAATGAAACCCAGAGCATGTGAATGTATAGAGACAACTGGTGCAATGGTTTATGGGGGACAGGGATCTGGGGAATTAGGGAGCAAACTGAATAAGGGAGAGGGAGAGAACATTAGAACTGATTGTAATGATGTATACACAACTCTCTTTAAAAGTGATTTAACTGTGCAAATATGTGGTATGAGAATTGTATATCAAGAAAACTGCTAAAATAGAAAAGAAACCAAACTTGACCAATGGTTTTCATAGGTGAAGGAGGATGAGTGTTTACTTACGGAGCAGCGAGTTCACGTTAACAGCGGTGGAATCATTTGGGAAAGGATGTGAATAATGGTTGTATGAACATGAAGAATATAATCAAGGGCACTGAATTGTACATGTGGAGGTTGTTGAATTGGAGAATGCTTTGTTGTGTATGTTTTTGCCACGATTTTAAAAAATTACACAAATACCAATGAGTACGAGGAAGAGGAAAATGTTCTAAAATTGATTACAACTCCTCTTGGTATGATTGAACTATTGAATTGTATGAAATGCCAATAAAAGTGTTTACAAATTTGTGTTGAAAATTTCTGGATGGTAAACTAACAAGAAAGAGCTGAGGTGGTGCAGTTGTTAGAGTGCTCAGCTGCCAACCAAAAGGTTGGTGGCTTGAACCCACTAGTCCCACCCCTGGAGACAGATGTGGCAGTCTGTTTCCATAAAGATTGCAGCCTTAGAAACCCCATGGGGGCCATTCTCTATGAGCTGGAATTCTGTAGCCAGAATATATATTTCTTGGGCGCAAAGCTAATGGTGACTATTATAAAAAGTGGCTACTGTATTCTCCATCATCCAACTCTGTCTCTTTGTACGCAAACTAACAAGTCCTAAGGAACTTAATGGTCACTTTGTTAGTCCCATATGGCTTTACTGGTGAACCCTAAGAAACAGTCAGAGAAGAGCTGATGCCAATTCTACTTAAACTGTTCCAGAGTAAAGAAAAGGATGGAAAACTTCTGAATCAGTTTTATGAAGAAAGCATGGCCCTGCTACCAAAAACCAACCAGAGAGATTACTACAAAAGAAAATTCTAGATCAATATCTCCCATCAATAACAAAATTCCCTCTGACAGAATCCAATAGTAAAACAACAACAAAACCAAACTCACTGCCATCAAGTCAGTGCTGACTCAGTGACCCTATAGGACAGGGTACAACTTCCCCAGTGGGTCTCCAAGACTGTAACTCTTGACAGGAGTAGAAAGCCTCATCTTTCTCCTGTAGAACGCCTGGTGGTTTTGAACTGCTGACCTTAAAGATCACAGCCCAATACCTAACCACTATGTGACAACCAGGGCTCCTGGAATCCAACAGCATTCCCCCAAATAACACATCATGACCAAGTGGGATTCATACCAAGTATTCAAGGGTGGTCAACATCAAAAGAACACCTTTCCCAACACCACAGAGGTCAAGGAAGGTAGATGTTTTTAAAAACTGGGCTCTACTCCAGACCATACTGGGTAGAATAGGTTTTATCATGAGTGGATTGTGATTCTCATCGCTCCTATGTCTCTCAAGCCCCCAGCCTGGAACCAACTTTTCAGCCTTTATTCTCAGCCTCCTTTGTCATTCCAACTGTCCATGTTTTGCTCAAACATTCTCTGCAGAGCAGGTGTTATTGGTAATGTGGATGGAGCCGAGAAGGACCACCACCATTGGGTTTCTCACCTGCCATTACTGAGAACTGAAAAGTCCCTCTCCCTGTTGGGTTAGCAGGGGAATTCATGGGGTTCTGTAAACGCTTATCATTTTGACGTTTGGATATAGATGAGTGAGTAGAATTTTGAATCCCTGGTCATGAGGCGAGGCAAGGTTTCTGAATATTTTCTTCTTATCCACAGTATTTTTTGCTAAATCCCTGGGCTCAGATATTCCCAAAGGACATAATACAGTTTTTAAAGATCAACATCACCAAGAAATGTATCAATCCATCTCCCCATAGACATACAACCCCTGGACCCTGCTGATATCTGCATCTCTTGGACTATCTCCCTACCAAACAGATTTCCCTACCGAAGTGGAAGACCCTCACTCTAGCTCTGACAAAGAGTGGAGGTGTCTGCTTTGCAACAAGTCCTGGTTCAACGCCATGACTGTCATCCCTCCGCCCACAATACGATGAGGCCCTCTTGTTTCTCTTTCACTTTCCTCCACAGATAACCAAGGCCCTTGAGGAGAAATTGGAATTCACCTGCGCAACCGATGAAGAAATAATTCGTGGTGACGTTCAGGAAGAGAGATTCCCCAGCAAGAAAGACTTTCTTAGGTGAGCTCACACCCCCCTGGCCTTTCTGATTCCCTTCCTGAGACCCTCAATATTGGGTCAACAGACCAGAAACAGAATCATTCCCTTTCTGCAACCTGAGGACAGTGTTCCCATGTCTTCCCAACCGTAGCTGACGCTGTGCCTTGCTTAGGGCATCCGAAGGCCCTGGGCTAGACACCCAGAGATCACAGAATGGACAGAGTATGCTAACCATCAGGGTATGACTGCTGTCTCCTCGAGCATGTCTGAATAACAATACGTTGCGATGGAGGAAGTGGAGTGTGAACTACTAAGAAGAGCATTGGAGGTAGGAGAAAGAGGCAACTTTGGATCAACGGGATGAAGATAACTCTACCAT